TTCTATGATAATGACCCTCTTTATTTGTTCAGATACTTATTCTGACTCTCAGCAGGGGGTTAATTTTGCATCAAAACTCGTGAAAAAGTAAATATACTTATCAAATATAACTAGGACAGTAATAAAAACCATATTTCACATACATTTGACTGAGGGACCAAAAGGGCATATATCCGGACACATCCTTCTCACGAGTTAGTTTTCTAATATTACACGTCGTCGTGAGGTTTAAATGGATGTAAGCATATTCATTGCACTTTTCTTTATCTTGATGTGAAAATCCAAGCTATGATGTTATTAGAAAATTTGAATCCGCCATTTTTGTTTATCGATTTGGACCAATCAGAAGTGTACCAACTGTACGTCATCTCAATACATGTTTACATTATAAATGTAGTCATCTTTGAACTCTGGGGTTAATCCCCCTCCCCCCCGATTCTGAAATATCTATGAATGAATACTCAGTAAACATGTGTATGGTAATATTTCTCAAATGTAAAGATTCTATTCTATGTTCTCTCAATGACAAATAATGATTTAGACATTCTTATCAGAAGCTTATTCCATGGCTCAAAGGTTCAAACTAGCAATTATGCTATTAGACAGTGTTGTGAATGTAGTACAGTATCACAGCAGTGTAGTATAGCAGACAGCTCCAAGAGATACCTCAATCTCCCAATTCTTGATGGGCCAAGATTTACTGCATAACATAACACAAATCATTGTAATTTGTTGAGCTACTCCAGAAGATCATACTACTGCACATATTATCCACTGTCTATTTAAATTTTTCATTGAAATGAATCAGGAAGACTGGCAGTGTCATTTGGAACTAATTCTCTTTAGTTCATGTTCATTATAGAATGAACTATATTCAGGTTTTGAATCCATGGAGGGAATTTTAGAACACATTCTCAGTGGCGTAGCCAGGATTTGGTGACCGGGGGTTCTATTTTTATGTTATTCAGAAATCCCCCCTTCATTAGGGTTCCTCAAATAATGCAATTTATACAATTACACTCCCTCCAAAAGTTTGGTAATCCTAACTAACCCATTGGATTATGTATTAAAGCATCTTTAGGTTTGAATTCTCATATGCATAATTTGTAAAGAAAAAACTATTTTGGGAGGGGAAATGTAATTCATTTTAATACCTTCATGAAAGGCAGAATCTGATCTATAGGGTGTGACAAAATTACATGTATGATTGACCTACCAATCTATTCCTTACAATATCAAATACAATATCTCCCAAAAGATTCACAATATGTTATAAATTGGTGAAGTTATCAGTGATTCAAAGTGCAAAAATGAGTGAAAAATGTTTAAATTCTCCCAAATAATAAGAATGGTGTTGTAACCATTCTTATAGAAAAATAATACATTTTTGTAAAAATCTTTAGTTTTCCTGGAATAAAGTATGCACTGTTGTGATTTTTAGAAAATAGACATGACAAGGAATGACATGAGAAAAGTCTGAAAGTAATAGGCTTTATCAAGAAACCTCTCCCATTGAAATAACATAGGACGTAAAAATGATTTTCAAAAATGACATTGTAGCTTTGTAACTTTAATGTTCGCAAAGTAAAATAAACAGGCAACGTGCAAAAAAGTCAGACAACTTATAATTAATTTTCTGCACCAAAATTTATTTCGGTGAATCTTTTACTGAATACACATCCTGAAATCTGATTTGCCCCGAATCCACCATTAATTCGAGTGATTTCTGGAAGACCCTGGAGTATGATTTGTTTCCAAGGAATATAAACTATTTCGCACAATTTATTCTTTAACTTAAGCTACTTCATCTGGACAAAATAAATCAGCTCATGCAATGGCTTATCATTCTTTTTCTTCTATGATAACTTTTCACAACGTTTACACGAAGGGTTTTTAAACTATCCGCGATAGTCGTATTACTGATGGTTATGCTTTGTTTTAAAAAATTAAAAATATTTCTTTGGACGTCCCCGGAGCTCAGTGGTAAGTTCCCCAGAGCAGATCAACCGCAATTGATAATAAAAACCTTTTAGTGGATATAATACAAGCTACTGTTATTTTGTTAAGTTCAGACGGATTGATAACAAATTAGGCCTTCATTATTTGAAGATTAATACCATATGATTTTTCAACGTTTTTTTTATTATATAATTTATTTGCTAAACATATCATGACATTAACATGAAAATGGAGAGCAAGTAAACTGGAACAATAACAATTTGAATTCTATACAATCTCTTAGATGATTGGAGTGTATCTAAAAAAAAAAATCGTTTTTGCAATGATTGATTTTTCTTTGGAAAAGTGATGCGCAAATAAATACTGAACAAATGAGAGAATGAATAAAGAACAAATGCTTGTGTTTATAAATGAAATACGCTTTTAAATAATTCATTTCACAACGACTTTTTTTATAATTAATTATTTAACGCAATTGGTTTCGGGGACTTGCCAGCCCCAGGTATGTACCAAGAAATATTTTAAATGTTAATCGAAATAAAACAAAACAGAAAGTTACACATTTGAAAGAACATGTGTTTCATCAATATTATGACAATTCGAGATATTCATGCGTCAATGTTGTAAAAATCATTCGGATTATGGGACGTCTGCACTGTTTTCAATAACTTTCAATAACTTCGTATTGGACCAGAACTGGCTTAAAACAAAATTCTTGGGACAGATTTAGCCATTGCCCAAGATGGGTTATTTTGTCCGAGAAGAAGCATGCTTTTAAGTTAATTGTGCGAAATTATTGTTATTTCTAATTCTAAAATCTCATGCTCTGAGGTCTTCCCAAAATTAAATCTCACCCCGTGCCTAAGGTTGCCAAACGTTTTTAGTGAAGTGTAACTTCACTATGACATGTTTTTAACAAAACAAGGCTCTCGTGTTCACTACTAACAAATATCAATTCATTTACTGCTCATAAATGTAGTTTTCAAATTGCACAGTAATTTTTTTGATTCTGGTTATATGCATTTTCCGCAAAATGATATTTTGGGAAATCCTGACCGGGGGTTCGTTCGAACCCATCGAACCCCCGCTGCCTACGGCTATGATTCTGTAGCTTTCCTTCTTTTGTATCTGCAATTTTGCCGGATGTCAACTTCGTCAGCTTATCTTCAACTCCAGAGAATATGATGGCTACCTGTTCCTCTACTGCCATGGGGACTGCAAAGATATATCATAAACATAAAATTTCAAGGAAATGTGTGACAAATGAGTTGTCAAATTCACCTCTATTCTCTGCTCTGTTTGCCACTTCAATTTTAGTCCTTTTCTCAATGTTTTCGCCCACTGTGAGTTTTTGAAGTATCTTAAATGAATGCCCATGGGGTTTCACAAAGAGGGAAAAAACGTTTTCATACACCTTTTTCAGATAAACGCCCATGGGCCTAAACGTGAGAAACTCTGGTAAATATTTATAACACACATGTGCAATGTGAAATAAGAGCATGTGCAAAACATGAAGTAGGCCAATTAATATAATATTTTTGACCACTCTGTCAGACCAATCTTTTATCAAAACTACTAGTATGTGTCCTTAATATGTAAAATAATCATATACCATTTCAAATGTTGACCTTGACCTTAAGTTAAGAAAACATTAACTCAACAAGAAGCAAATCACAGTAAAGAATTTTTTTTTTGATAAATAGTGGTCGTCTTAAAAATTTCTCCTTGAACTGACCTTTTACCAGTTTACTGGTATTTCAATTTTCAAAAAACATGTTTTCTTGTAAAAAATAATGGCCATTTTGAAACTCTGTCTTCTTAAACCTACCTATTTCATGGCTTAAATCTGATCCTACACATGATACAGACTTCAGGGACCCACATTGATGGAGGGATCTACTATAGAAGTCATTGATCTTAGGAATCTGGATATGTGAATGGAGCTCTGGAAATACCCAAAAAATGTGTAAATTAGTGTAGATTATAACTAGTCTTTGCATCAGGATGCAATACAGCACATGTTATGGGGAAAATGTAAGTTTCAAAATGGACGTTCTTTTTTGTTTTGTATTTTGTTTACCAGTAATGAGGGTTGGCAAAACCTGTTCTGTATATACAGCGTGTCCCCCACCCCCCTAGGCAGTATGGGCCCCCCATAAGCAGACATATACCAATGGTTCCATTGCATGTGTCATATATCATTTAAAGCTTTGCACAAGCTTTCAATGTTGTCATAACATGTTGTCATGGCTTTTTGTACCAGCTGTGGACCAACGATGCAGTCAAACACCTTGAAGTACATTTTACAAACAAGCAAATTAAGGGACCCCTGAGCAACCACACACCCGCCCATTAAATTGATCACAATATAGCACCTACGGTGCGATAATAATATTGTACTCCCGGTAATTTTTGCACGCTACTTTATTTTGGGCTTTTCGCAAAAATTGGAAAATTCGAGAATTATAAAAGGCGCGAAAATTCCAGCAGTTCTAATTCGGGGATTTCAATGTTGACAATATTTTAATCCAGAGCTGGGCTATAATAGGTAAAAAAAGAGAATTAGCAAAATGTAATAGTTGTGAAACAAAATGCCAAAAACGCAAAATATAATTGTGTCAAATATTAGTGGGAGTACAGTATATCATGAACATGTGCAGGCCCGTATCCAGGATTTGCCAAGGGGGGGGGTTCAATTTTCAAAAATTTCCAGGGGGGGTTCACATTTGACAATTTTGGCCCAAATTAGGCTAAAATCACTAGAAAAGTGCTAAAAATGGTCAAAAACTGCATGATTTTGAAAGAATTTTTGGCCAGGGGGGGGTTCGCCCGAACTTGCGAACCCCCCCTGGCTACGGGCCTGATGTATATCAGAATGTACCTTGACCTGCATATTTATAATTTGAAAATGAACACTCAACTTAATTCATGAAACATACTGTAGATACAGTTAATTATCACACTTAAGAACTGAGATTAAGAACTGAGTTTTAAGTTTTATCATGGATCTGGAAATCAGCATTTCAAACTCAGGTGTATAGCATACAGTTAGTCTTGGTATAGCAATGCAATCCAAATAGAAAGGCTTACACAAATGAAATCTTTCAGAGATTTGGAGATTTTCCAAAATACACCTGAAAATTGGTGGATTTTTGTTTGGCAGACCTTTTCAATCCGTCAAATTAAACAGTAGCCAAATTAAAGGTGCAACAATTAGTACACTCCCCTCCATAAGTTTGGCAACCTTTTTTCCCCATTGAACTATGTGTTAAAGCCTCTTTACGTTTGAATTTTTATTTACTTAACCGGCGATGAAATAACTTATAATATTGATGGAAACGTAACTTGACTTTATTTCCAATACCTCCAAATTTTCTCAATTTTTTCCTCAATTACAATAGGTCGAAAATTGATGATAAATTTGAAGAATTTTTGAAAATCGTCATTCCCATGTTAACCAATGGGAAATGGTAGGTTGGCCGCAAGTCATATGACAGAATATCCATCCATCCGAGTCCTTGCAAAAAATACAAGTTAGGCAGGCAATTGAATTTGCTAACTTTATTTAACAAAAAATTGATATGTTTCTTCAGGTTCAACAAAGTTATAGGGCTTTAAAGTCAAAATTGTTTTTCAAAAAACCTCTCCCATTGAAATAACACAGGAGGCGAAAAATTATTTTCAAAAATGACTTTGAAGCGCTGTAACTTTAATATTCATCAAATAAACTAAACACTTAGTGTTCAAAAAAGTTAGACAATTCAATTTTCTATATAAAAATATTTTTTGCTGAATCTTTTACCGAAAAGTTATCCTGATTTCTGATTTGCCCCGAACCCTCCATTTCCCATTGGATTACATGGGAATGACGATTTTCAAAAATTCATCAAATTTATCATCAATTTCCGACCTATTGTAATTGAGGAAAAAAATTGAGAAAATTTGGAGGTATTGGAAATAAAGTCAAGTTACGTTTCCATCAATATTATAAGTTATTTCATCGCCGGTTAAGTAAATAAAAATTCAAACGTAAAGAGGCTTTAACACATAGTTCAATGGGGAAAAAAGGTTGCCAAACTTATGGAGGGGAGTGTACATAGGGGGCATTAAATGATCATTGACCAGTGTCAAAATATATTTAAGTTTGTATATTTCATCAAGACTAAAATTATTTTTTATTATCTCCTAAGAAACCCCCTGGATGAACATTAGTTCAGCTGATATTCCTCTTGAAACGTTGTGAATCTTAAAATCTATGAATTGGGACACCCTTTATAGAAGCTTTGAACTGAATTTATACTGCTTAATGCTGAAATTGATAGTTTATCCATACATTTCAAGAAAATAGATATGTCAAAGAAGATATAAAGCTAAATATTGACCTGATAGCTCAGAAAAAAATAAAAAAATTCGTTTCTCTCTACAGTCCTTGTTGCCCCTTTAAGTGTATCTACAGTACCCACATAATAGGACTTTCTCACCTGTTTTGCTTATCTCTGAAGTATTCTCACATGATGTCACAGCCAAAGTAAGGAGTCAGGTATTAGAGAGGAGCAGCATCAGAAAGCCGTGCCAGATACAACAATGATGATGTACTTTATGGCATCTAAAGAAATATTTAAACAATTTGTTAGAGAAAATTAGTACATAGATGACAGGAAGGTTTATGGTTGTTTCAATACCTAGTATTACTCCAGTATCATCAAGGCAACAATAAATATTTTTGAAGCAATCTCTAACAAAGCATTAAAATGACAAAATGTAGCCACCTGGATGCTACATCTAATCTGAACACTATTAGTTAAATTTTTTCAAGTTCTAAGAATTTGTTATAGATGCTGAATGCTAACTGCTGACAACTGGATGCTGTCCACAGAAAATGTGAAGGCTATATAACATTCTAATATGATACGTGACGTCACAATAGCTAGAACAATTGATTAACTGGTCTATATTGCAGTATGCATGACTGCTAAAATTCACAAATGCAAATAGTTGTGTTTCTTGTCTGTTTATCATATTAGAATCGTAACAAAGACCTCGATTTTATGATATATGTCAAATATATGACCTCAAATTTTATTCTGGCCATTGCCAAAGACCTCAATCGCTTCGCAATTTCGGTCTTTTAACAATGAGCAGAATAAAATTTTCGGTCATATATTACGCCATAAATTATAAAATCTTGGTCTTTATTCCTTAAATATCTCACCATTTTAGTAGGTAGTGACATAAAATCAATGTGTGTACAAAAGTGTAACATCTTGAAGTCTCTGACTGCCAACAGCCTAATTTTAGTAACAAAAATGCTTTTAGCAATATCAAACATTCAGGTTTTTGATCATTTGAACCCACGTGAGCTAATATTATCATGACTTCAACTAATTTAAATGAACAAGGAAACAAACCTGCATCTTTGAGTTTCTTGAGGAACTGAGTAACCATAGATCATTTCTACTCAAGCAATCTGCATGGGTTCTTTCACTTCATGTTCATATAACACCCAGAGCTTTAGTACCCACTCTTTGCCTGCCTGAAAATCAAAGTGTGAAGAGCATTTAGTATACAGTCAGTTCTTGGATATGTTATGCATGGAAATAGTCCTTTTGCATCTGTAAAAAAGCATCTAATATTGAAATTTAGATTCATTCAAATGCTAACTTACCATCCTATTTGGCCAATGCAGTTGTGCTCTCTGGCTAATGACATTTTCACTTCATTTTCCCCATAGAATATAAAAAATACCCTTCTCAAAAGTGAAATTGACTGAAAAGGCTATAAATATTGCCTATACCTAACATTAATAAGACAATGCATTAAATGCAATGGTGCAAAGATAAAGTGTTTTGCACTGTAAACGGTGAAGTGGACTATTTGATAATTAAAAAATTTCACCTTTTATTGAAAAATGGTTGGATATTTGAATATTTGAAAAACATTTCTAATATTTTTGCTTATGTCTGTTAATTTTGGACCTTTTGATAGTAAAGGCCTAAGAGATTTTTCTACAGTGATGCTTGATCAAAATATGAAAATTTGAAAATGAATTCCACAGATCATCAAAAGCAAGGCTTTTTGGCCAGAGTTCAACTCAGTTCATAACACGAAAAAGTTTCACACCAACTGTTAAAATTATGAGAAAGCTGCTAGTAAAGGCTTAAGAAGATCTGGAGATATTTCATCAATGATGCTAGATCAAAATATGAAAATGAATTCCACAGATCAACTTGCTTTTATAAATGTCACTACATGAAAAAGTTTCACACCAACCGTTGAAATTATGTGAAAGCATACTCTGATGCTTTCGCTTGAAAGATTAAGTGTAGCTAAATTAAACTGGCTCTCTCTAAAGCTGGCCAGATATAAGTATTAGCAGTATTACCAGGAGCTTTTCTTGCATCAAAATGAGAAAAATATGCCCAATAAACAATAACAATTTCAGTTGATCAAAATAATAAAGACAATACAGAGAAAGAAATGTCATGTCACCCTACACTTGAAGGAAATCACAGACCTCTGCCAGATTACCTGCTCTGTGTCTATGCTCAATAAATATTTTTTATCCTTTGAGCCTACTACCAATAGGAGCTGGATCTGGCTCTGGATATGTGATTTAAACTGTCACTCGGTAGTTTTTCACAATGAAATTCCCAATAAAATTTCCCCGCTCGTCACCCTTATTTCCTGATTTTTGGAAATATGTTTGAGAAACGATAAGTCAATGAGGCAAATTAGAAGTCGGTGTCAAATTACTACACAAGTTGATTTTGAACTGTGAAATGCAGACATGACAGCAATCTTAGTTCAACTAGGCTTAATCATCCTGATGAAAAGTCAAAGAAAGAAAACTTGGTGAGCCTTAGTTATCGCAGTCCACAAGTTGTAGACCGTAATAATGCCTTGGCCCAGAGACATGAAAAACAGTTTTTCAGGTCTCTGCTTGGCCCTTGGTCTAGATCGGGATTCATAAAAGTCTTAAGTTGATCAAGAATAAGGGTAATATCCCAGGGTAATATCGACCATCTAGTTATACCCTAAAAGCACAATAATTCAGATTGGAATGGCAAAACTGGTCATTCAAAATTCAACTTAGAAAATTGGAAGCCATCTTCTTGGAATAATTTTAGTGAACTTTTACGACTTGTTCCTTCACTTTTATCGATAGCACCTGTTATATACTTACTTCAATGTTATCTGTTTGTTCCCATATACTTTATACACCAGACAGCAATACCCCAGGGTCCAATTTATTGTTACTGTCGTCATATTCGGGCATATTCGACAGCAATTTGAAAACTTCCACCTCAAAACTTCTAAACCGGAATTTACGTCATGAGGTCATGACTCGCCAAAAATACGATTTAGGGTGAAAAATGAGAGTGCACTTTCGATATCATTTTCTCCATGAACTACAGGTAGGTTAAAAAAGTTAAGCTGACAAAAAGATCAGAAATATCCAAAATAATCGAGAACACCTGAAGGTTAGTGCTGAAAACCCTGAAGACAAATTTCTGCCAACTTTTTAGCGGAAAAAAATTTTTTTTGGAAAATTCTTCCAAAAATATTCAAGTCGGGCCTACACCAAATACACTATTTTATCCCTTATGAAACATAACGATGGCTTTATATATCGCAACTCTCGTATCTGGCATCCTCAAAATTCAAACAGAATCAAAATTGATAATTTATGGGTTGAGTTATGGCCTCTTGATTTGAGGTGTCGTATTTTTCTACGAACTCGTGTACCGAGAAATCGGGACTATATCACGCCACGGCGGAGATAGAAATGTCGCTAACCGAAGCACAATTTGCCCTTTGGATCTCCTGCTGTTCAGTGCTAAAGCCGATAAGATCGGCTTTACGTCATTCCCATGTAAAAGGGGATTCCCCTCAGTAATTATGTAAGACATGCAGATCTTCACAAATAAACATGATATTGTATGTCTAAAACAATAAATATTTCGAAACACTGTGCTTGTTTGTTCATTTTTCTCAACTTGATCGAGTTTTTAAAAACAGGAAAAATAAAAACAAATTTTCAAACAAATATTTGGCGGGAAAAATGGCGGCACTAAATGACGATGGCAGTGACTTTTATTGAGAGCCTATTTGATAGTAATTCTGATCTCTCTGGTGTCCGAAGCAAGTCAGATGATGATGGGAATATTCCCATACCTTGTAATCAGTGAAGATGTGTCCCTGGACCTCAGCAATCAAAGGAAAGATTACAATTTGACAGTTTGATAAGGTAAATAGCCCGGGAGGACTAGAAAAATTCCAGTCAAGATTTTTTTTGAGTTGTGTCAATTATAATCGACATTGTAAGTTATCAGCTGAATTATTTGAACTGAATTATTTTCATCTAACTTTTAGATGAATACTATTATCGAACATATTTTATTTAGAGTGTAAATAGAGCAAATAACATACTTAGAAAACTAAGTCACATGACTTGATCATGGTGATCATGTGACATTCAAAATGGCGCCATCCAGGTTAAAAATGAACAAATTTGCTCTTCAATATATCGCATATTCTTGAGGGATCATTGTCTTTTTGCAATGTAATGACACAGAGAAAGGTACTGTATGTATATCTGATAACAAATATTTATTGATTTTATGATATTTATGGCTCTATAGTGTCTAAACCACTAATGAACTGCAGAATTCATGAATTTTTTTTCAATTTTATTTTTGATTTTCTTATTGTTTCTTTATCATTTCATTGTACTATTTCATTGCACTGTTTCATTGCCATGGACAATTCAATACATATACTAGTATACCGAATACTCCTTTACATTGACGTGTATGGCTATGTACAATATCCATGCATCTAGAGCTGATAGCAAACTTTTTCAAAGACAAATACAGTTGGGAATTACCTTCTTCTAAGGCCACTACATGTATATCGTGAGAATTGGCTTGAGACTCGAGTGGACAGGTGGATTTTCTATCACCAACCATGTCCATCTGAAATGCCATACTTTCCAACATTTTTAACATTGGAAATCCTCACTTCAGCAAATCCACCTGTCATTTATTTATGTTCCAATCTGTGTCAGATGTTTTTTAATTGAATTACAGTAATGTTGTATTTCAGTCCAGTTTTGCCTTAGTTGTCCCACCTCAATTTATTTTTTTAATCCCTGCTTTGACTACAACATAGTCAGTCACTGAATAAAGTGAAGAGCTACATGTATACTGTTGTGAACTTCATGTATAGCTGACAATATATGTTTTAGGAACCAGACAAAGCAAACAATACCAAATGCCGCATCAATGATATTTACTTTGATTAATACATGGATGGAGTTTGGGATCATATGACTGCTGAAAGTACAGTGTAATGTTATGCTGAACAACTGCAATGCACAGGTAGGCAATTAAACAGTGTTTCAGTGTTTACCAATATTACTAGAGTATAGTACATAATTGCAATTTATGTACATGTACAAGCTTTATGATATTGATTATAATTAATGTAGTATAGTACAATACAATGTACTGTATTCTAGGGCTGCCATCGAACTCAAATGTCAGTGTCGACAGTCGAACTCTGCTGTCGAAAATATTGTCGACAATCGAACTTTCCAGGGAGAAAAAATCATCGGGAAAAAAAGAAAAATAAACAGGCGAAGAATTTATGTTGACATTTTTATCTGGTTCATTAACACACTTTATACACTATCGGGGAAAAGCTTCATATAACTTATATTCATATTGGTATGTAATTGCCTAATATTGTTACTAAATGCCAAGTTAATAGAATATTATAGACGAAAATGGGACAAATACCTGCAATGTTTCGACCGGGATTTATTTCGACTGCTCGGGCGAAATCTCGTACAACGTCTCGCAAGAGAGAAGAGAAGTCATGAAGGGAACTTCCGGGTGAATTTATTTTTTGAAAATGAAATGAATGTGAACAATATTTCCGCAGAATACGCGCACATAACACGTTGAAATGTGTATTGAAATGTATTGGGGCCATTTGGATATTTTCAAGTAAGTATTGATATCGTTTGCTGTCGACATGACGGGAATTTTGTCGACTTCGTTGTCGAACTTGCATTTTGACTGACAAGTCGACGTTCCGACTAATGATGGCAGCCCTATTTACAATACATTACAACATGTACAAAAGTGTTTAACAGTACGTGTTCAGCATGAAGGTCATATTTGTATATCAAAAGGGATGTACCAATAATTTTTTATCTACTGTATTCATACAGGTAGTTATACAGTACATGTACCTGTACCCATAACATGGGTGAAGCCAAACTTGAGACAGGTGAGGCTTTTGCCTCACCACCATTTTTCAGGAAAACATTTATTTGGACAATATGTGTATATTAAGTCTGTGAAGATAAAGGAAAGCACATTATTCTAGTATTGCCCCAATAAAATCAATTTGATCTCTGGAAGAGTCAGATTTAAATTTAGGTACACTCTACTTCAGCTTCAGTATAAATATTTTTTTGAAATTTCCCTCATTTCCATTATGGCTACTTCCTTGTATATAGTAAATGTTATGTTATATAGAGATTATTTAATGGGAGAGATGGTATATGAATTTTATTCTGTGGGAAAATATAATATTGGCCAAGGAAAATATCATATTGACCGAGGGCAATAGCCCAAGTGTCAAAGTGATATTCTTCGAGATCAATATCATATTTTCTCAGGGAAAATATTAATACTCCAACACAACTGAAACTTATTTATAAGTTTTGAATGTCATCACCCAATGATGGTGTGATATAAATGATACAATTGAATTCTTCTGATATGGGATCAAATATGGGATCTGATACAGGATTTTGCCTGATGCGAAATCTTATTTATTTCCCAGGGAAAATATGCTATTATAATTATGGAATAAATATTTATATACAATGATCTTTCCTTGACAGCACAAAGAGAAGAGGAGTTTCTCAAAGATTGCAGTAGGCTATACAGTGGGAAAATACAGTACATCCATCTCTGAATGAAAGCCTTCATTGAGATGCTGCTAAATATGTGTTTGATTCAGAAAGCAACACTGGAGTCATATTGGACAAAAACAAGGTAATTGTTTTATCACTGATGGCCAAGGGGAAAGGCAGGTGTTATTCTCGGCCTAAAGGCTGAGGGGCCGTTTCTTTGTACTTTTCTTTGGCATTTTTGAAAAAAGTGGACCCAAAGCTCATTTATTTAAATTCAAGTCCCGCAAGTCAATTTCCAGGGCCAACCCTGAACATATGTGTATTGCCATTATTGTGACACTATAACCTTTTCATAAGATTAATTAGACTAATCAGAAGACTGATTATAGAGTATTTTATAGGCCATGTACAGAAACAGGTCACTAAATAAAAAAATAAAAACATTTTGTAATGTATGAATTCAAATCATGAAGTAAAATGATACAAAGTACTGTGTATGAAAAAATGAAAATTCGGCCTAAAATGAAAAATTTGGCCCAAAATGAAGATTTTTGAAGGAAAAAGAATTTAATTTTAGAAAAGAAAATTCGAAAAATGAAAAATCGTGATCCTAGGGAAATAAACCCCACCTTCAATCCCTCCAAGTAAATAACCTCTATGCATTTTCTCATTATAGATGGAATCAGGCAACCCCAGTTAGGAAAAAACTTTACGAGAGACCGATTTCAGCTACTTTTGCGGTTCTGGCACATGAAGAATAATGAGGTTGCATTAGTTGAAGACAAGCCTGGCTGCAACCCCTATATCAAGGTCAGGTGCTTGATTTCTGCGTTCAACGGGAATTCTGCCATAATACTCTCCATGAAAACATTGCTCTGATTGCGGGACTGGTCTCTATGAGCAAGAGGTAAAATTTTTACCTTGATAACTTTCTGTGAAAATATGTAATACAAGACCCTATTTTTACACTTTTATATTTTGCTTTCACATTTAAAACATATTCGCACCACAGGAACAGTGCATAACTTTCCTGGTTAATGCCATATATCTTTAGACAAGTTACATGAAATAACTTTATTTATTTATTTTTTCTTTGTTCCTCTCAGACATTTGATTTAGTTTACCCTGAAAACAGAAGAATGGTACTACTGAAATTAAATCAACAAAAATAACAAGCAATATTCATCTGTCACAACTTAGTCCAGTGTAATTTTGATTGTATATATTCGGAGGTACATTGTTATGATTAATTAGACATCAATAGTTTGTCATTCCATATATGTGAGTGAGGAATATAACAGTGAATAATAAAATAAATATTTAATTCTATTTTTGGTGAATGCTTAACACTTGACGCTTTCACAAGATATTCCACTTGCACTTCGGGCTTCGTGAAATGTCACTAGTGAAAGATGCACAGGTATTCAACCTCAATAGAAATAAATATTTGTATGTTATTTCTGACTGGTGTATATTGTAACTACTAAACAGTAGAAAGAACACATTGAACAGACTCAGTGAAATACATGTCTCAAGAAAGGAATCGTGGTACATAGATTTGTACAAAATATTTATTGAACATATACAGTAGCGCATTTTCTGAAATTCGTTCATATGATAAGTAAAACTAATATTTGTTATACAAATGATAATCAGATAGCCTAATCATTTACATATTGCAGGATAACTACCGATGGGGACAGTGGATAGCACAGATCAAATGATCACACAGTGATGGATGAACTCCAATACTGGCATAAAGTGGGCGTTGCAATACTCAGTTGAATGCTGCTTAACTCTTACATTGTATATGGAGCACACAGATACAGAAAAGACAATGCAAAGGTATATAGTTTAAGAAAACTCATGTCAGCATGAGCTACAGGTATGGTCGAAACTGATCATTGAGAGGGTACTTTTGGTACATACATGTACATATACTAGCTAATCTTTTCACTACAGTAGGTGTCGAGTTTGCAACTGTTCTCAACAGCTGCTCATATCATTAGCTAGCCCCTTGACTGTCAAGTCTGATTATGAATTTCCATAACCCTCATATGGCAGTGTAATCATGTAACAAATGTATTGTATCTTTTTTAAAGAAACTGATATAAAATGATATTTTCTTTAATTTTCTTTTAATATCAATTACAATTTTGAATATACATCACAATACAGGGCGTCAAATAAGTCTGTTCTCCCCCCTTAACTTTTTTAATTCAGAGATAACATAGGGTTGGTATATATCATCTTAAAGGGAATTTAATTTGCTGATCACACACCAAATTTCAGAGTGATTGGTTAAATTCCATTTTTTTAGAGTATTTTTAGTGATCTCCATATTCCACTTTTTAATAGTCTGTATGTCTCCCCCAGCAGCCCGGAGTGCCTCAATTCTAAGAGGATATGATCCTGTATAAATCATTCAGAACGTTTAATTATAGGTGTTGTCAACTATTTTGAGTGAGAGAAGCCCCTGCTTCAAAGGCTCCCCTGAATGTAACACATTTTACTCTGTAATGATATTGAGAAACATCGAAATCACCCATTGTTAGCATTGTCACTGCAGTATCAACTTTTCACTTTTCATTCACTTTACCTGGTAATTTTACTTGTTTTGACGTAATCAAAGGTCAACTACAACCTTACAAGAAACATTGTAGCAATTTTATTAGGAGGAGTTTATGATTGACTTTTTGAGGGTGATCAGCATTTTCCATGAGCTTCAAAATCATATATGGGAAAGTATGATAAATGTAAAGTTAAAAAAGTTAAGTGGGGAGAACAGACTTATTTGACACCCTGTATATATATCGATTTCAATGTAAGTGAACATTTATAAATAATATTACTGATGTTTGTTTTCAGATACTCATTTATGATTGACCTGATTGAGGGCCTTGCAACTGCCTCCTGTCCTGCACTTTAGTTAATGCACCAAGCCATTGGCCAGGGATATTACCTGACAACAAGAAAAGCAGTATGTTCTGTGTAGCCAGCTAGGGACCTGTCACCATACCAGGACAGAATGTGGAAAGGGTTTCATTTGAAATGTTTCTTCTCAAAAGCAAGAGGAGAGGATATGAATTTGGGCAACTCCTGCTGGCAGACACATTGAACATGAATATATAGTAATACTATAGCACAGAATATATCTCATTCAATACCTTCTTCAACCAACAATCTGTTGGTTGAAATGTAAAAACGATGGGAAAAAATTAAAGGAAAATACAAGGGGCATAAATCAATCAATCTAAATGTCCAATTTATATGACTGTAACTTTTCAATATAAATAATGAATAAAACAAACAAACAAACAAACTAAGCATGACTTGTCAAGTTAAACCATAATCTGTTGCCATGGTAACATATATTCATTGCCATAATGCCAACAATAAGTTAAAACTTTGAGCAGATTTTTTTTGAGGATAGAATTGAAATCAATCTGGACGCTAGTGAATTAATTGTACTGTAAATTCGTACAAAATGTTACATCCACTTACCCGTTGTCATGGTAACAGATATTGATATATGTATGTGTGAAATTCTCTTATCTTCTCTACATGTATTGATCCAGAATGATTTAATTAACTTCATATTTATATTATGTATTGATATCAGTAGACAAAATAAGATACAAATGTAATAATTAATTGTTTTTGTAATACCATCAATATTTTGGTAAAAAATCAAGGATTTTAGTAGAAAATGAGCTTTGATAAGATTATAAACGTTATGGGCGGCCGACGGTACTATGTATTGTTCCAGATATCATCTGCAAATGACAAATTCATGGGCAATTATATTTTTGTCTAGTTTTTTGTCCTATTTTATAATTTATATTTGATTGGATGTGATGTAGGGGCAAATGGATTAATTCATGATTACCTATGAATTGTATTTTACAGCGTTATTTTTCTAATGAGTAAAATGGCGGCCATATTGATGACGTCATATCTAATTTGCATATTTGAATAATTTATTCATCAAGATAATCATTTTAGCTTTCCAACGATGTATCATACATGGTTCCATCGGAAATAATGACTAAGTTATGAAGTCAGATATACCGAGGCCTAATTTTCTCTATTTTACCATGAAAAGTCTAGCACTGTGGCAAAAGCTCTTCATTCTTGAATTAGCAGCAAAATGAAATATTTGCCTTTTTTTGTAGCATTGATAGGGTTAAGGAGAATATAATAGTGTGTTGTTCTCTCACACAATTAGTATAATTAACTAGTTAACAGCAACACGAAGGTGTCGTAAATCGTAATTTACAAGAATTTCCTTAAACCTGAAAGATGACAGTATATTCTCACTACTAGAAAAAACCTTCAATCATCATACGATCATGTCTCGAGAACACAAACATTGGAGAAAAAATTAGTGGGCACTCCATATGATTAATGTCTTGTTCTCCCAATGTGCCCAATAAAACCATCCACAGAATGTAGTAACCAAGGACAGAAGGTCGAATGAAGTGCTCTCCAATATCCCTGTAAGCTTCCCTTTTTGTATGATATCCTAATGAAAGTGATTAATATAATGGAATGTTTAACACTCTAACTTACACTGGTATAACAGAAACAAACGTGAGGATGTTTATTAATTTGGATATTACATGTATGTTGTAAACGGTAAACTGTAAACGGTTTGGGTTAAAAGTGCAGATCTTAACTGTTTTTCGAAACACCGTTTCTGTAACTTAAGAGAGGAATTAAATTGACGATTCTGCTGTCTTCTGAACTATTTGTTCGCAAATATGTATTTTTTCTTAAACATATGATACTGATACATGTTTGTGATAAAAAATGTTGTGGGAATTCTACCTACAACGTGTGAAATAAAGAAAAAAGAAAAATCGTACCTTCGATGATCTGACATTTTGTTATCGAAACGGTTCCAGCGTAATCGAGTGGATCACCAGTGAACATGTACAAGTTTTAGAATAACAAATGATTTCCCTATGACTCCATGTTATAGGTTTAAACTTGTGACAAAATAAAATAAAACTCCATGACAAGGCAAATAGTAGCTTTATCAATATGCCAAGACTTCATGACAAGACAACAGATGACTATAACAATATGTCAGCACTTCTTCTTGGTGACATAAAACCAATGAAAAGTAGAGGACCAATGATGGATAAACAAACAGTTGCTATCATTTATATAACATTTTCAATAGGAATCATAATCTTTGGAGTAATAGGAAATATTCTATCATTGATTGTGCTAAAGAAGGAACATGAACAGAGTACTCGTGTATTCCTGCTAAAAACATTAGCAATTACAGACACTTTATTCCTCATTTCCTACATTGGACTTATACCAAATGAGGGATCGTTGGGTAAGCTATGGACATTAAATGACATCCATAATGACATACACTGGTTACTAGAATATTTAAATAAAACAGCGTCAACATTAACAACATGGGCAATTGTCCTGGTCACAATTGACAGATATATACATGTCGCAAAACCACTTAGGGCCCCAGTAATTGCAACAATGAAGCGGATGCGAGTAGCCATAGTAATGCTGACTGTTGCAGCAATCATTTACAATTGTCCACATGTACTGAAGAATCCTGCAATTGATGAGGCATATCATGAAGATATACATTTTGTTGTCATATATAAATGTGTCTTGGATTTAATATTTCGACATGGTGGCCCAATAATTACCGTAACAATTCTGAACATTAAACTTATAAATTCTGTTAAACAATCTAGGATCCATGCCGAACACCAAAGTCAAGAAAGCAGAGAGAAACGAAAGCAAACATTGACAATGATATCAATATTGTCAGTTTTTATAGTATGTTCTCTTACTAATATCAGCATTAGAATGATTTATTTATATGAATCCCTTGCTAATGTACAGGGGCGTAGGAAGGTGTAAATTCAACACTACGCCAAAAATATGAAAAAATTGTGTCAAATCTTAACGAATCAAAACGCCTCTTTTATGCTCGTAAAAGGTAATTTTTATGGTAATACCTTTCTAATTGTGCTTAAAATGTTCGAATGTTTTTCATGATATAAAATCACCATGGAAAGCCGAACTTTTAAATCTCAACAATACAGATTAAAGTAACTAGTATGATCAATAGAAACATGTCCGTGATCAATGATACAACATAACTCTAATGTCTTCAACTTTTTTTATAAGATAAATAAAGCCCATGCAAAAGTCAACGTGACATTTTGTGGTAAATTGTTTTTTCCTTTCAAAATAATTATTGGTGCCTAAATGCTTTATTTCCTAAAATAATAATCTATTATATTTCAAATAAAATAGAAATTAGGGTAATTGCTTTCCTAGAACTGAAGTTGAAATGTACTTTCATTTTTACTGGCTTAAACTTCCAACTATCATAACCCTCTACCCCAAATCACCTTGATTTTTACGCCAAAAAGTGCCATTTATCGTGGCCGAAGCTAGAAAAAAGTAACAGAGGAACAAAAACCTTGCAAAGAGTACTATTGAAAAAATCGAACATATTACATGGTTTCCAAAAACATTTCTTTAGTGTGCTCGAGATCACAAACAATTTATTAACAATGAGGAAATATGACTAAAGAACATAAGGAAATTATTAAGCTATTTCATTCTAGCTTTTCAACACTACGCATTGGCGTTTTGGCGTATATTGTTCCTACGCCACTGATGTAGAACTTGGTTTTAACTATAGTGCTATGATTAAAAAGTATTTTCTTCTTTGTAACTCAGCATGCAATGTTATCTTTTATTTCCTTTTTGGAAAATCATTCAGAGAAAAACTGAAAAACATTGTATGTTGTAAGAGTTGAAACTAGAGAATTGCAACTCTGTGCAAAAGCTAATACAAAATGGACAACATCAATCATTATGACTTTGGTCTCATCCCCAAATTTCCTTATTTTGAAAATAGCTAGATGCAAATATGTTCACAGTAAAAATTTGAAATCAGTCAAACAGTAATTGTTAAGTTATTGAAAGTTGTATGAATTTGTTACAGACATCAAATGCTGAACTCAAACCTACAAACACCATCCATAAAAAGTTGGAGACTATTACAGTAAATCCCATTGAACACTTACAGAAGGAGCCATTCTTATAACCCTGAAACTCATTCGATGGGACAGATAGATATATAGACGCCTTTCTTTTAAATATGCCCAACTTTCACCAAAAGGGCAACTCGTGTTATTGTACTTTGAGACAAGATTTGATTCTTTCGTAGCCCAGTAACCATGCATTTTATTGCAATGGCATTGTATTAGATGCATCATTCATTTAACTCTGGACTCAGGGTATCCCAGCTTAACCATAACCCCACACTAAACGTCCTTAAAAGAAATGCAATTGCCCTATGTTCCCAAATGTAATAAATAGGCCTACAGCTAAGTTGAGGTGGAGCTCTCAAGATGGCCAAAACAGGAAGCACATGTTTTTATTTTTTATATTTTGTCAGACAAAATTTAACCAGAAAAACGGCAACGCCAAAGCGTAGCGAATCCCATCGAACAGCCATGGATGGCATTTTTACAAACAAAGGATATAGCAAAAATGGCAGCCATTTTTCAAAATGGCCACCTTCTACCAAAAGTGTCATTAGACCATGTGCCATGCTTATAGTATTCACATACCAAATATGAACAAAATCGCTCCACTACTTTTCAAGTTATAGAAAAATGCGTTAAAATGGCGGCCATTTTGAAAAATGACCGCCTTCTACCAAAAGTGTCATTAGACAGTGTGCCATGCTTACAGTATTCACATACCAAATATGAACAAAATCGCTCCACTACTTTTCAAGTTATAGAAAAATGCGTTAAAATGGCGGCCATTTTGAAAAATGACCGCCTTCTACCAAAAGTGTCATTAGACAGTGTGCCATGCTTACAGTATTCACATACCAAATATGAACAAAATCGCTTCACTACTTTTTCGAGTTATAGTAAAATACGTTAAAATAGCGGCTATTTCTCAAATTTTTTTTTCAAAATGGCCGCCTTCTACCAAAAGTGTCATAGGACAGTGTGTCATGCTTATAGTATTCACATACCAAATATGAACAAAATCGCTCCACTACTTTTCGAGTTATAGTAAAATACGTTAAAATGGCGGCCATTTTTCAAAATGGCGGCCATTTTTCAAAATGGTCGCCTTCTACCAAAAGTGTCTTTAGACAGTGTGCAATGTTTATAGTATTCACATACCAAATATGAACAAAATCGCTCCACTACTTTTCGAGTTACAGCAAAAATCGTAAAATAACGAGTAAAGACCGCCACTTTTCAAGATGGCTGCCATGTGCTTCTTTAATATCTACATTTCTGGCTTTATCAATGTCCTATATAATTTTTTTGCATCTAAAACATATTGCTATTACAGTTTTACATATTGCACCTAAATTACTGTAAATTCTGCACTAAAATGGCTGCCATTTTGAAATGAGCGGCCATTTTGAAAATCGGCTTTCGAGCAGAACTTCTACTCCCATAGGGTATATGTGTACAAAATATGAACAAAATCGGACCAACAGTATTTGAGTTATTGCCCGGACGGACGGACGGACGTACGTACGGACGGACAGACGTACGTACGGACGGACGGACAGACGTACGTACGGACGGACGGACGGACGGACGGACGGAGGCGTTCCCTATATCCCTCCGAACTTCGTTCGATGGGATAATTAGACTTTGTCCCTTTTGCTAGTACCACCTATCATTTATATGACCAAGCTCACGATCGTAATAGAAATAGAAACATTAAACAATAGCAATTTTAGCTTTGAAAATATGACAGAAAAAATGGAGAATAATGTATGAATGGTCAATAGACAAATTTTAGGAAATTTCTCAGGAATGTCACTATTATATAATTAAAATTAGTTTAAAATTAATTGGTTTTATGTGTTAAGTCTGTTATTAAAAGGTAATACTAAAGGCTGTTTTAAAAAGTATTTGCCCACCAACCCTCCCCCAACTAAGTGAGATCAAAAATTGGTAAAACAGATATTGTTAGTGATACATGAAGGTAAGCTAATAAAGTTTTCATAGATTCCATTTCCATAGATTAAGGCCATCATTTTTACTGAAATGCTCCATACCAAAGTCTCCATAGTTTGTGTCATATATCATTTTCAAGCTCACCCAAAGTTGATTATGCCAAGTATCATGGTTCAACTCACAAATGGAAAAAAGTTACAGCCATTTCAAAATGGGCAGGTACGTTATTGAAAGCTTTTTTAGACAGCTCTTACTTAAGTTCTAAAAATTATTTGACAACCAAAAAATGCTTTTTTTTGGCCAATACGTCATCTTCAATAAGGGGCAAGAGAAAGAAAAGCCAAACAGATTATTTCTTAAGCTGTCATTAATCCACCCATCATCACTAATTTTCAGCGACCATGAGCCAATTTTCACCAAAAGTGCAGCATTTTATTCCAATTTTTATGACTAGATTGAAATGTACTATTAGTCATGATTTACCTCTGAAAAGGAAAAGTGAGTCCCCTTGAGATTAAGACAATCTGAAAACGATGGAAATTTGAGGTCAAATATATGGCATAAGAGCAACATTTTTTGATATGGTTAATGTACAAAAAGATTGGGGGATATCACATAATTGATCTCCAAAAAGAATAAAATAACAATGCTGCACTTTTGGTGAAAATTGGCTCATTATTGCGGAAAACTGGTGATGATGGGTCTATTAATGACAGCTTAAGAGATAATCCGTTCGACTTTACTGTCATTCTATTGGCCCTTATTGAAGATGACACATTAACCAAACAAACGCATTTGCTTTTGAGGTCAAATAATTATTAGAACTTAAGTAAGAGCTGTCTAAAAAAGCTTGCAATAACGTACCTGCCCCTTTAATGTTTGGCTAAAATTAAGTCCGTGTTACACTAAAATAAAAATGTGTCTCCCTAGCCACCATGTCAACAGCAGCAAGACTTTCCATATATGACCTTAAACGTGCTTCAAATAGGGATTTGGCAATTTGAAATCCTCATAAAACCTTTTTAAGGCATTTATGAAGAGTTTCCTTGGAGTATCTACGCTCAAAGTCCTCTTTTTAGAATTCAATATCCATCCTATCTTCGACAATAGCACCCATATTTTCGGTCACATTCAGGATACTGAAATGAACTATATTTTGGCCAAACACTAAGTTTTGAAATGAGAAATTTTACAAGTAAATTTTCTATTAACTAGAAAAACAGCAACTCCACGGAGTAGCAAATCCCACCGAACAAAACATGTTTTGATAAAAGATTTGAGCCAAATTCATCCACTGGTATTGGAATTATCAGAGATTATGTTTTTATGAAACATGGTTGCCATTTTGAAATTCAGCTGTCATCTTTAGATTTCTTCTTTAGCAGAGAATGTCCATCAAATGGTATTTGGGTTATCAAAGATTACTTTTTTAATGAAAAATGGCAGCCATTTTGAAATTCAGCTAATGCCTTTGAAATTTCTTCTGAAGAAGATCTCATTTTTCCCTAAACATCAGCATATAAAATTGGAACCAAATCCGTCCACTGGTATTTCAGTTATCATAAATTACGTTTTATTTACGAAAAATGGCGGCCATTTTGAAATTCAGTGGCCATCTTGAAAATTTATTTTTGAGCAGAACTTCTTTGTCTCTAGGCATCAGCATATAGAATTTGAACCAAATATGTCATTTGGTATTTGAGTTATCAAAGGTTACATTCTTTTATGAAAAATGGCGGCCATTTTGAAATTTAGCTACCACCTTGAAATTCCCTTCTCGAGCAGAGCTCCTGTCTCCCTAGGTATCATCATGTAAAATTTGAACCAAATCCATTCAATGATAATTGAGTTATCAAAGATAATATTTTTTTACGAAAAATGGCCACCATTTTGAAAATTAGCTGCCATCTTGAAAATCCTTTCTCGAGCAGAGCTCCTATGTCCCTAGGCATCAGCTTCTAAAATTTAAACCAAATCCATTCAATGGTATTTAAGTTATCAAAGATAATGTTTTTATATGAAAAATGGCTGCCATTTTGAAATTTAGCTGCCATCTTGAAAATCCTTTCTCGAGCAGAGCTCCTATGTCCCTAAGCATCAGCATCTCTAATTTTAACCAAATCCATTCAATGGTATTTGAGTTATCAAATATAACGTTTTTTGACAAAAATGGCCGCCATTTTGAAATTTGGCGGCCATCTTGAAAATGTCTTCTTGAGCAAGGCTCCTTTGTACCCAGGCAACAGCATATAAAATTTGAACCAAATCCATCCACTAGTATTTGAATTATTAAAGATTATATTTTTTCCGAAAAATGGCCACCATTTTGAATTAAGCGGCCATATTGAAAATTCCTTCTCGAGCAGAGGTCCTACACCCATAAGGCATAAGCCTATAAAATTTGAATGAAATCCGTCAACCGGTATTTGAGTTATTGCCCGGACACACGAACGGACGGACGGACGAACGGACGGACGGACGACAAGCGGGGTAGGTGTGACCTGACAAGGGACGCCTACCCCACCACCGGGGTATTTGCGACTTGAGATGGGGTAGATGTGACCTAAACTGGGGTAGGCGCAACCTGAGTAATATACATGGGGTAAATGCGACTTGATGGGGTAGATGTGACTTGCACTTTTAAAAATGATTTGGGGTATATGCGACTTAAGGTGAAAATATCTGCTAACTGTATTATAAGTGCTAATATTATCAAATAAGCATTGTAATATCAATTCTCTTCAAAATTAACATAATAGGCATATAATTTTGCTAGTTTGGCACAATTTTAGCTAATAAATTAAGCTAATTACGCCAATGGGTATAAGGGGGGGGGGTACAAAGTAACCCCTTAGTAAAATGTGGCAATAAAAGATCCTAATCTTACCAAATGAGTTCTAATGGAATGCCTATTGGCAACTTGTTTTATTGGGAATGTAATGTTAATGATATTTAATATGATAATTAATTATAGGTGATGATCATTGCTCTACAAAATAGAGAAAAATATTTTTTTCTTTCACTAACCCATCATTGCTTTCCACTGGGTCAAGAGATAGACACGATGGATATTGAAACCATGTAAAAAAAGATGACATTTACAATATCTTAAAGGTAGAATCAGATCTATAGGGAGTGACAAAATTGCAGACAATATGTACAATTGATGTACCAATGGATTACTTAGAAGCTCAAATGTAAAATCTGCCAAAAGATCTGTGATATGTTATCAATTGGTGACAATCAAAAGTTATTTAAGATTCAAAGTGCAAAAAAGGGGTAAAATATTTAAATTCTCCCAAATAATAAGAATTCTTATAGTAGACAAATGATTGTGTTATTGTAAAAATCTTTACTGTATTGTAGTTTAGGGTAGCAACTATACCACTGCTCTGGATTGACAACTGTTGAAAACTTCAAAAAAACATTTTTAAGATTATTATCTTTGAAAAAGTGAAAAATAGCATTCATCTTCTTTATTTAAACAATTTAAATTGTGAGCAAATTGTGAATACAACGTTTGCCAATTTGTATATAATTGGTACAATAACTTGACAAGTTATCCTCAGCTTTCAGTGACTATTATTATCGTAATGATCAAAGTCATCAAAATTCAAGGACAGATAATTGTATTTGGAATAATCCACTGAAAATTAATAATTATCAGAAATAGCCCTTCTCTGAGTATTTTAAAATCAAGACTAAAAAGTTTCTTAACCTTTAGCGTGCTGCCGGCGGACTCGTCCGCCGAGACTAAAATGTCTCTCACAACTGCCGGCGGACCCGTACGCCCGATTTCAAACTTTTAAAAACTTTACTTTTTCGCGCCATTCGTATTGTCCAATTAGATTGCCCGATTTATTCAGTGCCTAACATGACTTCCTGTTGACCTAGAAATGCGATATTTCGAAAAATAATTCTCAATTCAACAATTTAAACAGTGTTTAAGTCGTTTTTAGTGAACGAATCGTACAAAATGGTGGACAAATACGATCACAACGAAAATGTGGAGGAAATGGATTACGATTTCGAGCTCTTTAGGCTCTTGGAAGCCGATAACGGTCATCGAAAATAGAAGCTAGAATATTTTCTGAATTGAAAAATTGAACATTTGATCGCTGCAAATTCAGATTTGGATTCTGACCAGACGAAGAGGCGGAGCGGCGGATTCCGGAGGAGTATTCATGGTATATTTATGCCCAGTCGTGTTAATGTACGAAAAAATTCATGAGAACATTTTTTTCATGAGCCAGGCCACTGTGTCTTCCCTTTGTGAAAATTTTATCCAGATTCATTCAGTAGTTATTGAGATATTAATTATTTAGTCCAGGCATATCATTTTTTGCACTCTTTGAAAAATAAGCCAGTTGCGTGGGATATATTTGCTGAAATAAGGCAGCATGGTAAAGGTTAATCAGCAAAATTCTGAATAACAAATATTATATCACTGTCATATTCCTCACTCTCTGATTGGTCTTTGTCCTGCACTTGACTAAAAATAACTAGCAATAATCAATAAATGATATCTACCAGTCACAACTTAGTCCAGTGTAATTTTTATTTTATACATCCCCAGGATTGAATTAGTCCAATGCCATTTGTATTATACACTTAGTATAATTTAATATTATAGAAGACATTATGACAGTGATATAATAAAACAAATATTCTATTTTCAGTGAATACCTGTGACAGTTTCACAAGATGATATTCCACTAGCCCTCTGGGCATCATCATGTACATGTCTTATAAATGAAAGTTTATCCTTCATCAGAATTGCGAAATTGAAATGCTCGATCACCATAGAAGCAATCTACACTAAAGTATTTTTTATTCTTATTTTCAAGAAAGTCACTATATTGCCACATTGAGATGGCATAACAACCTTGTCTTTATGGGTGTACTACTCCCCCATCATTCAATTTTGAACCAGATAGTGAATCATCTGGGGAATTATCATCTGTATCTGTCTTTAATGCTATCTTTGATTAGACAAATATATGTATCACATCTATAAATAAATACTATGAGTATATCATGTCTAAGTTAGCGAAAACTAGAATTGAATACTTCAAAGACTGTATAATGACCCATGTACATGGATACGAGGCTTTTTATACAAAGCCTTGTTTTCTGTATATTTGGGGCTAGAATGAGATTGGCCAAATATTGAACTCAAGTAATAGGTAACAGATCATAATTAGTATATTTTCCTTTGTTTATACCTGTATATATTGTATGTTTAGCATTTCATGTTGAAAAGAATAATGAGAAGTGCCCACAAAAAAACTTTTTCATCTAATTTACTTCAGCACCCTAGCACCTGAAGTAACCTGTAGACTGAAACATTGAATTTAACATTATTGGGGCTAAAATAAAATTTTTATCTGAGAATATTGGGAACTTAATTTTAATAGTTAAAATATAAATGTTCTCACGTATATACAATGTATAACTTGTACTTCCTACATATTAAATGATTTAATGTTATAGGTATTGAAAAAATTACATTTTTATTAATGCCATGCTGTCTAAAAAAAACACCTTTTGGCATAAAACTGTTGGTAGAGTAAATAATCCAGGGATTAATTCCAAGAACTGATGACAATTACAATGATTACAATGATAAAAATGACCCATTCCATGAAGAACAAATCAATTAACTCATGACAATTACAATGATAAAACAAGTGACGAAAATAAAAAAACAAAGAAAGTTCAAATGTTAAATATGCAAGCAAAAGCTAAGAGGTAGAAAATCTAAGTGGTAGAAACAGACATCAGTCTAAATGTACCATTTAAGAATATCCCGCTTAGATTAGGTAAAACTTTCCCACACTTGTACTTTCGGATTTTTCAGCATTTAACAACATTTTTAACTCATTCGCTACTAAGGACGTGATATGACGTCATAAACCACATACGTTGACTACTAAGGACGTGATATCAAGTCCAAGCACAAACCCAATGTATTTTTGGGAATCTTGTAACCATGACAACTTATAAAATGGGACTTAAAAAACTATTCATTCTGAAAGAGTATATCATATGCTTTAAAATGATATATAACACTATATATGTATGCCCATGTATATACAATATATATTATTTCAGAGGTACCATATATGGCAATTTTCAAAATATCGTCAGTATTATAGTGCTTTTTGCCCCAGTATTGATTGAGTTAATCTTCAAATTCATTTTATCTTTGTCAGTTGCTTATCTCCCCTGTTATTTTCATTATTTGTTAATGAAATGGAAAACAATATTTTAAATAGCCAAGGATTATGGAATGTTTTCTACTTCATTATTTCCATTTAAAAATATGCAGTGTCCTCCCCAGGAATTTTTCCTCAAGTGGCCGGGTGCAAAATTCTCATGTTCACAATTAAGTCCAGAATTGGTAAAAATATGCCTATTTTACATGATTTTTCTCATTTTCAAGTGGGTGCAAATGAAATCTCAGGTGGGTGCAAGCCTGTTTTAAAATCTCAGGTGGATGCTGCACCTACTTGCTTTAATGCTGGGGAGATCACTGATATGTATTCGTAAATTGAACATTTGTATTTGTTAAATGCACATTAATGTTCATAACCTGAGTATTTATTATTCATTGTTCACATTTTTTGTTCGTTAATCTATTTTGTTTCATTTTAACGTTTATGTACATGTTTTAAACTGAAATACTTTTAAAAGTCCTTAAAAGCATTTGTTAGTGACACATTGTATATCCATATTCAAATAAATTTGAGTTAATTTTGTACCTATATCCTTGTTTCCGCAAATATATTACTTTAATATTGTGATTATATGGGCTTTAGGTATGTGAATGATATCAATTCTTGAAATGTTCCTAAGTTGTCCAAGTCAAGTCCTTTAAGAATTTACTCTGTTCTTGATTAGTGTTTAATAAGTTCAAGACCTGTTTAGGTATATTTAATGATTATAAAAGATACCAGGAACAAAATGACAAAGATAATTATAAAGGGAAATCAGTTTTAGATTATGTAACTATATTATTTAGATTAAGTCATAAAGTATACATGGCCATGCTTAAAAGTGCATTATGTAGATTTGTGGTGGCTATGATCCCAATTTATCTTTGTTAAAATACCAGTGCTTACCATGGAATCAACTATCTTTCGTAAATTTCAAGTTAAGTGATTTTTTCAAGCACTGGTATTTCAACATTAGAGGTTGAGATCATAACCATTCTTTTGGGCAAGTTTGAGGCTAGGCACCAACAATTTTTTTGATTTTTTGCAGTTTATTATCCATAAAT